AGGAATGGATTGTATATAGCATTATGCACTATTGCGAGTGAGGTACACAATCATATGAAATAGACAAAACTGCTGCTTTTCTTAAGACCAAATCTTCATATTTGCAGCATAAAGATTGTAAAGATGAAGATGAGGGAAATATCAATATCAAAAATAACATGGCTTCTCACAAAATTTAATTTTGGTAAAGCTTATGCCACTCCTACCAATATTCAACTGTGTTAAAAATACCCTTTGTTCATTTCCCATGCAACAAAATCTATCCTTCACTGCATCCTTGCTGTGTCTTTGTATATAGGCTGCAATTCCTTTGAAATCACACAGATTTTTTTCTTGTGCTTTCTGTAAAACTTTCTTTTAAAACAAAGTTCTGTATCATATCTAGAATAAAGCTGTGGTTTTGGATGTGTTACTGTGGGCAGTCATAGGAACCAAGTCATAATTTCTTGTAAGTTACACAGTCTTTCTGTTGGAATCTGTCCTGGTATGTGTGGTTGCTTTGAAATATTTGGAGAGCTTGATTGGAGAGCTTGAAACTCAAAAGCTGTTTGTAAATTTTTTTGGACTTGCAATTCAGATGAACTGTTTCAGTGTACGTGCAATGAGTTCACTGAATATAAACCAACTGTAGCACAGGCCTGCAAGTCTTTAACAGGACAGTATATTTTTACTTGCGGTATTTGTGAATGAAGACCCAACAGATTTCTGAAAATTATTTTCTATTAATAAATCATACTAAAGCCAGTGTCAAACTGGTATAATATATTACTTACAAAAAATGTTTGTCCAAAGCTTTGTGTTTATAGAATGGTAAATTACTTTAAAACATATGAAACATTTTTTATTTTATGAAAAAATTACACTATCAATTCCCATGGTAATTTCAAATTGAAACTTCTTTCATGAAAAAACGTATTTATGTGACAGAATTCTGTGTAACTTTAGGCAAGCCAATTTGTAACTTTTGAGTGTATTGTTGAGGCAACTTTATTATACTCATGAGGCTACTTCTGCTGAAACTGTGCATACTGCCGCCCTAAAAGCAATAATGGCATTGAGCAAAATTTAACTTAGAGGTAAAGAACTAATTAATTGTACTGCTAAGCATGCATTTATGCATTTTGTATTTTCTTTTTTACTCTCCTTGAATTTACCATGTTTTAGTAACAGATAAAAAAAGAAGGACTTAAGAAGTGTCCTCTGCTGAACTATTCAAAACTTTTATAATAAATCAAATGAGATGGATTTGAGATGCATGGAAAATACTAATGAATTTACCATGAATCCTTCAAAAAGAATATAAAAGTATGGTATCAGATACCAGGTCTGCTCCTTCTAAGATGAGTGAGGAAATTGCCACTGTTCTGAGAGGGCAGACTGCAATGTACAGTGATTTACTGTAGTCCAAATTTAATTACTGTCACTGTCTAGAACTGACACGATTTTTGCCTTTTTTACATTAATGTTTATCTATTAGTTGAAGTGGAGTTAGTTCTGGTTTAGATTAGTATAGAAGAAGCTGATTTTATTCACTTTAACTTTCCACCATTCTGATATAATGTTGTTTAGTAAACATTCATGGAGTAAGTCAATGCAAGTGTACTGTGAGGAAGCTTAGAATGAACATGACAGATTCAAATGGGACTGTTTAACTTTTATATGAAAAAGTCATTATGCAATCAAATTCATGTAGGGAGTCCTTTGATGCGCACATCAGAAAATCTATGAACACCATAGGGAGATGAATATTAGCAATCTTTACTCTGTTTCCTTTATAAGGAAGAATTTGGAAGATCTATCGGAGTTTAAAAAAAAAAAAGCAACCAATCAAAACACAGAACAAAACAAAACCCACAACTGACCAAGAGAAAATGCACAACTACCAATCAAAAAAAACCCCCAAACCCCAAACCAAACCCAACCCAAACCAAACCCACCACCACCAAAAAACCTTGAAAAACCAAATCAGTGGAATTTAGGCAGTGGAAATGCTTGACTATTTTACTCAAAAGCCCTTGAGCAAATATGAATATGTTTGGACCAACTAATGGCATAAAAACGAAGATCACTTACAAAAAAAAAAAAAAAAGATGGTTCCTATTCTGAATACTAAGTTGAACCTTATTGAGAGACTATGGTAAAAAAACTTACTCATCTGGTGCAGTTAACTGGGATGTAGTTAAGCTGATGTGGTGTAACCTGCATTTGTCATGGGACAGGATGAATTTCAGCCTGTTTCTTATAATGTAATTTCAACTTTTTAAAATCTCTTCCAGTTCAAATGTTAAACCTAAATGTCTTGTAATTTTTTTAAACTATAAGTGGTCAATATCAAAATTGTACTCTGAGCAACATCAGCACAGCTGATTTAAATGTTCATGTAAATTCTTAGCAGGCAGCTCCATATTTTTTCAGTTACAAGCAGGAGCGGGGATAGTTTCCTATATATATGCTTTGCATTTCTTTTCCCTACTTGTAATTGTTTCAAGGACTTACACTCTGATATTATATGGAATAGAAATGGACTTGCCACTGGATCATCTTGCACATGAATCACCTCCTGCAGGTCTTCTTTCTATTATCTTTATAGGGATCCTACCATTGCTAGTTTTCCAATTTCTCTATTCTAATGACGAATCTAAATTATGTGTGATGAATCTGGGACAAATAACCCTTGTGAAACTGAGATTTGTTTGTTTAAAATCAGGCTGGCAAGGCATGTAAACATGCGCTATTTTTACTGCTCAGTGAAGTAGTTAATTATATTTTAAAGTATCAGTGTGGATCGAAGTACTTTATTGGTTCAGAACCTTTGAAGTTGTCTGATCTGTAGTATATTGGGAATTTCATAGCTGACTGTACAATTAAACTTTGACTCCAGGGGATATTTAGGTTTAAATTTCTCATTAGAAAGTAATTCTGAAGTGAGCTTTCTTCTTTTGACAAATGCGAAGAACGTGTGAAGAGGTTAAACAAAAATTTTATTCTGGAAATCAAATCAAACTTTTAAGCACTGTTTTTTCTCATTCATTTCTCTGCTTCAGTTAGAAGTATACTGGCTATTGATGAACTTCCAGTTAATCTTTGAACCTTCAGCAACCTTTCATTTTTTTTTCTAGGTTCTATTCGTATAAAAAGAATACCCTTTTTTGTTTGTTCCAGTCTCTTCTGAATTATCTTTAGAAAGACAAAGGGAGACAGCAATAAGATATAGAGTTATGTTCTACAAAATCCCATTAGTACCGAAGGCTCACTCTGTGGATCCTCAAGTATTAAATTTGGCAACTACTGAATGCTTTCTCACACCAATAAAGTGACTTTCATTGAATGTAATTGAGACAGAATCACAAAAATAGATACTGAACAGCCTATTCAATTACCAAGAATACCCCTCTGCTTATTGTAGTATACTCATTACTGCCGGAATGATGGTCAAAATTTCTCAGTTGCCACATATTGGTGTAGCCCCTCCGGCGTCTGCATTACTTAGTTGCTTCATGTTATTTGAAGATTTCTTTCCAGATCTGATGATACAAAATAATGCCAGATGATATAAAATAACCTGTGAATTGGAAGCTTTATTAAAATTTAATTCACAGTATTTATGTTAACAAATAAGTGATGCATTTTACAAGCACGGCTTTGCTTGGAGCATAACAATAAAATGGGACTCTTTCTCTGACTTCCTCTGTTGGATATGCTTTAATCATTTTCTAGAGAAACAGAGAAAAGAAGCATCTCTTAAAACATAAATTCAGGGGCCTTGGTACACTAGCTGCTACTCTCAAAATGAGGATTTAGAGTGTCTTTTGTCTATCAGGTTACACTTACGCTTCCTGTGGAGTCTGCTTCTGGTCAGACATGGTTAACGTTCTATTCATCAAAGATTTTGGAAATGAGAGATCTCACTTTTTTTTAAATTTTATTTTTATTTTTAGAATAGCCAGTGCTCCTCTGTCTGGGCTTGATCCTTCCATTTTACTTGCAGTTTTCTTGCTTAGTTAACTGTAGGGATGGAGCAACATAGATATCTAATGTAAACAATTAATTCCTAAAATATACTTGTGCCCATAATGGTTTGGTGGTAACTTCAGAAAGACCAGGCCTTACTCTCGTGGTCCAATTTAGTCTGGCTTGGGAGTTTTGCAGCCAATTTGGAACCTGCATGTTTCACCCTGTGAGCAGCAACCACATCCATCTGTTTCATCATGTAAAGAGCAGAGACAAACACTTTGGTGATGGTTAAATGTATATCACGACACAGCGGTGCATTGTTCTGAATGAATGGTTTCAGCAAGAGGTTTACACTGATACACTGAAGAGAAAGCATCTCAAAACAACATTACAGCCAGACAATTAAGATACAAATGATGTATGCAATATGATAGTGTAACTGCACATCACACATACATGATGCAGAGATGGCTATGGAAAATACTCACTTTTTCACTTGATTCTGCTTCCTTTTGGCTTCTGCACCCCTTTGGTGCATAGCAGGGAAGTAGGTATTTGTGTTTAGTGGAAGAAATTACACTGACTAACAGACACAAGCATTTTACTCATCAGTTTATCATAGGCTGTTGCTGAGTAGATCGACAGACAAAGACTACAAACAGTGCATTAAACATTTAATGAACCCCGGCTGAACTCCTGGCCCTGTTGAAGCCAACCGAAATGCTGCACTTTTTTGTGGGGGGAGTGTGGGGTAGAGGGGGCAGCACTTTTTGCTGGTTTCTAATTGTTTGTTAATCACTTAAGAGAAAATTAGAAACGCTGCCTCAAAGGGAGCATCCTTTTACTTTGCGCAATTGCTTTATTGGAGTTCACCACAAGCAAAGTGTGTTTTTCAACAGGGCCTGATAAGGAGATTGCCAGACCTGGTTTCTAAAGGAGTAGGTGATATTTCTATAATGTGTGTGTGTTAGTGCAGGGCATCTGTGGTGCTCCTATAAGAGAAGTACATGATAGCCGTTATCCTAAAACATGAAAGGAATAAAACAGGACTGTGGATTTTGTTGAAGGCTCTCACATAAGAACAAGTATGTGTTCAGATTACTTCCATTAAGTGTCCTAATGAGTAGGAGCAACTTGTGTGCACTAAATATCGACGGTAAACTAAAGGCACTTGCTTGGGGAACAAATTAATGTATGTGAGTGACAGAAGGGAATAAAATCCACTTTTGTAGTAAGATGGAAGTGCTGTGTTTTATGGCACTGTTCAGTCATGATCTTCAAGAAACCAATGAAACCACTGTAGGTTCAATGGCTGCTCCCAGGTGCAAGGTCTGGTGTTGTGGCATTACTCCTTCCACTGGAGTTGTAGGAAAGAAAGCAATGAGGTGTGCAAACCAACATCATCTGACCTGGTCCAGGAGTGGAATCGCAGTGAGAGCTTAGGGATGGGACCTAAGATACTGAAAATGACACTGCTGTGAAGTGATTGTTTCTTATTTTATATATGCATTGAATGAGAGTATTTGTGATGTGCATATCGATGGCATAAATTGTAACTGGAATTTTAAACTGGTTTCAAACAACTTCCTGGTAACTGACATGTACTGCACTGTCCACAGACCCCTTTAATTGGGGGAAAAAATACATTTCAGTTTTAATTTTTCAAGTCAAAACATCTAACCCCCAAGCGCTCGCACCGTCTACCCCACGCTGCTTCCCCCGCGTTGGTGAGGAAACGTGGTGCGATCTGCCCGGG